TTAATCAGGTGTAGCTTTCCATATTGTCTTCCAAAAACAGCTATTAAGCAGAGAATTGTCTTGTCCAAAGTTTTTCTTACACCAACTATTTAGTCAATTGTTTGTTCTGCAAAAACTCATACAAAGCCCTATAGACAATCAAAATCTCATCTATCAAAATATTTTCAAAAATTTGTTATTTGCAAAGAAATCCCATAAATCTCAATCTTATCCAAGGCCATCTTAAGAAATATCTGATCTCACCAAGCTTTGTCCAAATTCACAATTCAGCAAGGGACTTGGACAAACTCAACCTTATCAAAATGAAATTTTCCCTTCTGTGATCCTCTACACAACTCCACATCCAGATCTAATATTTTCATTTTCAATCTCTCACACTCAAACACAAATCACTACTATAACTTTCATTGCCCCTGCTATCACTACTTCTAAAGCAACTTCCACCTTCAACACCACATGTACAACTCAGCTCCAACTGTAAGTCCCACATTAACATCTTCTATAACCATAAAGCAAACCAAAAACATCTCCCTGTGATCTTACACTGACTCTGCATCTAACTTTGAAATCTCCGTATGGAACCACAGAATCATATACTAACCTTCAATTTGACTTTGAAACTATGTATTTTCCTGATTACTTTGACAAAACTGAAAGTAATACCCAACTGGCAGTATTGTATGGATTCTTAAACGACATAAATTCCCAATATCATCCCAGAACCTTATCTAACCCATCAAGCCATAATCCAAACTCTGAAATTATGAATTATTCCATTACACTAGTCCTGTATCTCTTATCCCTCCCCTCAGCATTCTCACTTGTTGCCATTTGCAGAACATTCTTTTCCATTTTGGAAAATCCTCTACAATCAAGCTTACATTTTTTAAATTCTTAAGTATGTACTTTTAATGTTGAGTTGAAATCCTTCTACATAAACAGAGTACAATGTTACCACAATCTATTGAGCTCAACCTTATAGAATATAGGGATTTATATAATATATCCAGCACTTCTAATAGCATTCTATACTGAACTTTATTACCTCTGACAAAGGACAATCCACTTTGCCAAGAAGTCTGGACATATTTTCCGAGGTTCGGATTTTCTAATCCGAACAGAATTTCAAAAGAATAGTAAAAATTTATTTAGTTATATTCTATTAAGTAGAATTTTAGGTATACTTAATTTAGTGGTTGCTCTGACATTCAACAAAATACTCCATTTAAAAGTGGCTCTACTGCAGATTTCCAAGTATATGCCCTAATTTCTTCTGGGATAGTACAGACTGGTCAACAGTTATAAACAACTTTGTAAATTTACAAAGTCAAACAAGTGCTAATTCAATTTAAGTTATATTAATTGTTATACCACATGCAAGATACTTTGGTGGGTGCTACAGTGAGCAAAACACAACATCTTCCTTGAAATTTAATATCTCAAAACATAAGCACAAATAGCAATAGCATCAGCCAAAGTAGAATAAAATAAATAAGAAAGCTACAAATTCCCAAAAGTTGTTAGGAAAGGGAAAGACTGACTCCAAATTAGGGAAAGAAAGAAAAACTTAATGGAGATTGTAGCATAAAGAGGGATCTTTAAGGATGAAGAGAACATTGAGAGCCGAGATGAAAAGTGAGATCCCAGAGAGGGGGAATACCAAGAACAAATGTAGAGACACAAGATGAAAATGCTCTCAGGCTGTCTTCTGACCTCTACTGCACACTTCCATTTTACCTGCACATTAGACTGAAAACAGATACTTGCAGTATTTCCCACAAAAATTCAAGGAGGGATTCTGTCTTACTTACTCTTGTGTCCTAACATCAAGTATAATGCCTGGTCCAGCACAATTTAGGTTTATGTTTAATAGGTTATCATCAGAATTACCTTGCATCACAGGATACTGACTGCAGTTTTCAATTATTCATTTATTTGATTTATTCAGTCAAGCTATTGATATAGTTAATAATCACCATGTGTCTTGAAACACTGTGGATGAATTATCAAGTGGTGGGGAGAGAAAAGTTTTCCAATCTGCTTTATCCTTTCATTGCCAAACAGGCTCTTCTTAGACTGGGATTCACAAAGAGAACCCTGGGTATGGGTAATGCCAGATATCCCCACATCCAATGGATTACTTGACTTGAGAAAGCCTAGAAAGTTCAAGGATCACATAATTACTAGATGTTTCCACAAAGATGCCTTTAAACCAGATACTCTTAACTTAGGCTACAAGGAGACCCACGAAACTTCTAAAGCTCTCTGATATACATCATGTTCATGAGCAAATGTGCACATTTTCTGAGAAGATGGTGCATAGATTCAATCAAATTCTCAAAGAGGTCCATAACCCAAAGAAACAAAATTAAAACCAATTAGAAAGATCAAGAAATGTCTAGACCTACATGTCTAAAACGTGTCATCCTCAGTTCATAAAACACTTTAATGAACCCTGATAGCCTAAGTCTTTTTGGAAAAATAAATTACCTCACTCTTTTTGCTGATGTCTCTCAGTTTTATCATGCTTTAGGAATTTATTTCCCTTTATAGTACATATTTCTTGATACTCAACTCCATAATTATATTATTGTAAGTTATCTACTTTCAGACTTAAAATTTCTTGTCTAAGAAATTACTCAGCCTTCTGAGTTTCCCTTCTTTATTTTGGTCAAATCTTAGTTTGCTCAGACTGCTCCGTTTTCGAGCTAGGGCGTGTCCCATTCCCACTTGGGGTTGAGGCATGTCTGCAGTAGACACTGGATGCACGGTCAGTCCCCTGAATCACCTGATGTCCAGACAGTCACAGTGATTCAGTTCCACTGAGCTATTCACTGGCATTATACTCTAGCTGGAGATAAAGCACTAGGCTCCTCACTTAAGCCAAGAAACAACAGTGCCATAGAATTCAACTCTGCCTTCACCAAAAAGAAAAAAATAATAAAAATAAGGAAGCCGTACCGCCTATACATTCATTGAAAATAGTGCCCAGGTTAAGTGGGTTCCCTAGTGTTGTGGGCTCCCTCCCACACAGTGAGGCTGCTTGAATATTTAATGTTTCCCCCACCAAAATGTAAGCTCCATGAGGGCAGGGATTTTTGTCCCTTCCATTCACTTTCATTTCCAGGGACTGAAATGATGCTAGAAGAACACTGAGTAAATACAGGCTGAAATATGGGTTCAAAGAATGAGTTGACTGGACCAAGAAATGAGTGACTGGATCTATGAAAGCCTGTGAGACCATAAATAAAGTTGCTTCCCTTTTACATCTGTCAGCACTTCTATTCCATTGCTCCTTTCAATCTCGCCCTCTTTCCAGGCTATTCTCTGTCTCACCAATTATATTTCTTCTTCAAATCCATTTAAAACCCCCTCTCTTCCCTGAAGTTTTCTTTCACCTCAACCTGGCTCCAAATCCCTATAGCATATACATCCACCATTTATTTGTTGACATGTGGTGACTGGCTGGTGCTTTGCAATGTTATTAACAGAGAAGACACTAAACAAATATAAGACAAGGTCCTAGGACTCTCCATCCAATTCAAGAGAAACATACAATTAGGAAATAATGAAGGAGCCTGATAAGATAATGTCTAACCAAGGGCCAAAATGAATACTAGAAGTAAACGAAATGCTATGCAAGGTTAAAATTAGACATCTATCCAACCCTGTATTCACTGCTACCCTCAGTCCATTTTGTTCCAATGCTAGAAAACAATAACATCATTCCTCCGTATCTAGACACTTGGTCTGTCTAGCTCCTCTGCTTGAGTTCTTAATCGTTTTTTTATCCTTCAAAACCCAGTTGAGCTGAGGATCACCTCCTTATTAAGATTTTTCTGCTTTTCTGTCCCCAACAAAATTAATCCTGCTGTCGTTCATACCTGTGATTGTTCCTATTATTGCACTTACCAAGCATACACCTGTTAACCTTCATGTTTCCCTCCCAGACAGTATTCTCATCCCTATCTGACAACAACAAAAATTGATTGTGTAATGAATCGAGTAGTTACAGAAAATCTCTTTGGAATGCCTCATTGTCTCAGACAATATTCCATTAACAGACATTCTGGACCTTAAAACAAACCAAATCTAAGATGGCCTTCCATGTGAAATCCTGGCATTAACACAGATTCATCATTGATTCGCACTTAGAAGTTGTTGAATAGACCCAACCAACCTCCATAACAATATTGTTAAAGAGGTAACACATCTCAAAAACTCCCCGTGTAGCCCTGAAAACCTGTGGTGAACACTTACTTGTTCGTTTTCTGTTAAACACACCTCAGTGGACACCTGTGTTTTGCTTAAGTTTCAGTATCTTTTTTCTCATTTAAATAACGCATACCATTGAACATTTCTGGATGGCAATTTGGCCTCATCTATTGACATTTAAAACATAGATACATTTTAATTCAGCGCTTCGGAGACTAAGACCTACAGAAATACTCCCACATGTGAGATAAGTTTTCTAAGGATATTCATTGTACTGCTTTTATAATTACAAAATACGATGGAAGTAGATTAAATGTCCATCAAAAAGAAATATTATATAACATGACCATTAAATAAATGAAATAAATCTCTATGTATTGACATGTGAAGTCACCCATTATTTGTTAAGTTAATAAAGTTGCAAAGCAATACATAATGGGCCTCATTTTTTAAACTATGTACAAATATTCTGATGATTGATTTATATGCTCATATAAACACGACAAAACATATACATCTGGAAAGTCATTTGGGAGGGAGATGAAAGTGAAAGAAGATTGTAATTTTTTTTATTGTCTGCACTTTTTTTAATTGCACAAGGTATGTCTTCCTGAAATACCCTCTATTCAAACTGTAGACATTGGGTAATATGATGTCTGCAGCTAATAACTCACCTAATGAAGTGTTGGGAAATGAAAGAAACCAAATGATTTCATGGACAGCTAGGTCCTGATTGGTCTCTCAGTTGCCAGCCTCCTGGAATTGAGTTTAAATTCCTTCTACAAATTTACAAGTCATCCAAGGGTAAAATTAGTCACCAAAGAAACTGAAGAAATCAAATGGACTTTGAATATTGTTTCACCTGTACATTTTCCCAAGTGGAGAGAAAGGTAACATCAACTGATCATATTTCAAATAGAACTTTTTTTAAGGATCTTCTCTGAAAAGGGGGAAAAATAGAGTGAAAGAGTGACACTATTTTGTTATTATAGGCAGCATTTTGAAACATGAAGACGGTGATTCTACTGCTTTATCTTCTAGGATCAACTCAGTCATTACCAGTAAGTGCAGAATCTTTATTTTATTACCAACCAGCCTCAGCAGCACCCTCCGCTTGTAGACCTATCTTTCTTCCTGCATTCCATCAAAATTTCTCTGTCCTGTGATCCCTTCCCTTCGTTTTCTGTTTTTATTTTCTCAAAGTGAATAATGATAAATATGGTGTTAGTGCATATTTCAGATACTTAGATATTAAAAATGCATTCACTCTAACATGGTAGAACTTTAATTACATTTAAACGTAACAATAGGGTAGAAACTAAGGGGCGGGGGGAGAGGAATGCCTTAAATTATACCTACTCAAAGTGGATAATTATTTTGCTTTCCAAAAAGAATTTGAGACTTTCTTCGTGATCAATTATTTTCTCATGACTAAAGAGGTAAACTACATTTTCTGACTTTCTTAATTGGAAGCATGAAACATGTAGACTATGTAAACTCTGAAAAGGCTACCAAATTGTGCAAGTATATAAACTCTAAAAAGGTTTTAAAATTGCACAACATCAAGGGAATATTAAAAAGTGGCCAACGTTTTTTACTTAGAACATTTCATCAAAAAATACATTCACATTTAACGAGTTGTTGAAAGTAAAGGAGCAGCAGAGTTCGAACACATACATCAATTGTCCTCCAATATTTTATAGACATACATGGGAGGGTTTGGATCTCTAGAGGGACTTACCTTTGACCATTTGAGCTGCTTGAGCATGTACACTGAGAAAAAATTAGAAGAAATCTTCCGTGAAATAGAAGAACTGAAAAAAAAATTTTTGAGTTGAGCTCACTGGACGCATCAATAGTCACCTATACAATCAACAAATACTTAGTGAAAACTCTCTATGTACCCGATGCTCTGCTACCTGCTGAAGATACAATGGTGGGGGGTGGAGGGGAAGACATGACCCTCCGTGGTGTTCACAAGGATTGTAGATATTAAATATTTTTAAGGAAATGTTAAATTATAAATTATAACTATGACTACTTCCATGAAGAAGATGAACAGGGTGATCTTATGGAAAAGGATAGAATCAATCTCCCTTTCTCACTCCAAATATACCTATGTCCCTCTTTAAAGTTGTCCACAAAAGATTAACTTGAAACAAGGTAAATTAGTAATTCTTTTGAAAAACATGGATTTTTCACTTTAAATAAATTTACCAAAAACTTCTTCTAGATAGGGTGTCTATAGGATATTTAAATTATCATACTATTTGTAAAAACTCAAGATAAATAAACCTTTCCGGGAGCACAGCTATCATGCAAGGTTGACTGAAGAGTGGCGTGCAGGTTACTAACAGCCAATGATGTGAGAGCAGCTGGAGTGTGAGTGATGCAGGGGATGTGGGTGACACTGACATGTCTACAAGGTATAGTAGTGATATTTATGAAATGAAAAATCAGGACACATGGACAAGAAATTTTTTATTATTTGTAAATGAATGTATTAAATTATCATAAAGGTATAAAAATGAATCCATTTTTAAATGTGGACATTTCAAACAGCCTAATGATTGTTTTCAGTAGATCCAAAGCTTGGGAATAGGGTACACATTGGTAATGGGACAAGTTGCATATTTAGGAGAGTGGCCAGGGTAAGTGACCCTGACCAATAAAAAGGTGAACACAAGCTGTGACTTGAAGCAGGTGAGGGAATGAGCCGATGTCTGGGTTAAGAACATTCCAGACAGAGGCAACAGGTGGAGGTGAGGTTTTAAGGCAGGAGTGAATCTTATCCATCCCAAAGAGAGCAAACATCTGGATGGCAGTAGCAACAGAGTGAGCAAAAGGAAATGGGATAGATGGAAAGTTCAGAGAGACACTGGAGGCCCGGGACATAAGAACTTTGCAGACACTGTAGAGTCTCTGGCTTTTATTCTGAGTGAAAATAGAAGTCAATGCAGAGGTTGAACAGAGAAGTGAAAGAACCAGACTACTGTTTTCAAAGAACCATTCTGGCTGCCAGGCTGACAATAGATTATAGGGGATGAAAAGGACACTTACATAATCTTAAAGCTTAAAGGGACCTGTAAGGACAGATAATGTCAAACTTACCTCTTACAACTGAGGGAAAAGCCCAGAGTGAAACCAGTAGAAGCTTCAAGATATATCCAAGTTACCCAAGGGCTGACGCAATGCTGGAGGGCCATGCCGCACTGCCCTCTGGGGTGCAGCTGGGAGCATAGGCAAACTGGAACCAACCTGGTCAGGGAGCATCTACCTGAATGCAGAGAAGCTAATGAAAAAGGATTTATTTCTTCAAGGACTAAGGGAACTCGCAGGGATCCAGATGGCTCTGTTATTCACCACGTCACCTTGGGTAGGTCACTTTTCTTTTGTGGACCTTAGTTTCCTCGTCTACAGAACAAAACCATACAACTAGGTGATGTGGATGTCAAAGACATTTTCACCCCTACAAGTTGGTTATTTTTTGTAATGTTTATTTATTTTTGAGAGAGAGAGAGGAGGGGAGAGGCAGAGAGAGAGGGAGACAGAGAGAATTCCGAGCAGATTTGGCACTACAAGCACAAAGCTCCATACAGTGCTCAAACCCATGAACCATGAGATCATGACCAGAGCCAAAACCAGAAGCCAGAAGCCCAACTGACTGAGTCACCCAGGAACACAAGTTGGTTATTCTTAATACACTAGGAGGCCAAGAAGGAGACTGAATCTCCATTACATGAAATGATTTGTCAGGCACAAGACAGAAGCAGGAAGCTTCATGAAAATGTAGTAGAAGTTATGGCAGCTTACCTTCAGTCATTGGGAAAAAGTAAATGTTACAAAGCTAAGGTGCATACTGTGTATTTCATGGCCTAAAAAATGGGGAAGGCCATCACAGAAAAGAAAAGGAAGCCTAGGAACTACCACAAGAAATCCATGTACCCGACCCCACCGTAGACCCCTCCCCACCACACCCCTCTGGCCTCACATTTTTCCACTCTACAATTCCATCCCCTGTCACACACCAAACTTTCCATAGAATTAAAACTACTCCAGAAACACACAGAGCCTAAAGGCAGACATTTCTGCATTTGGAACAACTTGTAACATCCTGGAAATAAATGGATATGAAACCTCAAACACATCTCTACCTCCTCTCATATTTGTTCATTGCAGACACAGCTCAACCTTGCTTCGGGACTTCCTCCAGCAAAGCTGGCTCCAGATCAGGCAACTCTTCTAACCCAACAGCAGCTAAATCAGGTAAGAGTCCTATAATGCAGAGCATTTGCAGATCAACAAAGGAAACATGTTAAGACTAGTGAATTTTAAATCAAGATTTACAGCCTTATGCCCAAACAAGAGAGAAAGGCTTTCTTTGGGGAAGATTAAAAAAGGACTAATATACTTTTTGAAAATTTTGAGCAGGAAAAGCAAAATATCTTCATTCTTTTTCTTTTGTCTTATTGTATAGCAACCAATAGTAAACTCTGTAAAGCAATCGCTACAGCTATTGATAAAGCCTGGTCATCAATACTTGAAAGTACTTGACATATTTGGTATGTCATATGTGGTATCTGCCAGAGCTAGCAGGGATTAAGAGGTAATCTATAAAAATAACTGCATATTTCCTATAGTTTTCTTAAGTTCCATTGTTACTGATAAGCTGATATTACTGTAAAATCTGTTTCTTCAGAACATATTTAAATATTTTTGAAAACTGCATTGTCTCTTGGCTTCCACTTCTCAATTCAACCCTGGTTCTTCTCTAAAGGATCCCTCCTTGAAGCCACAAGCCATTAACCTTTATTTTGCTAAAATAAAAGGTTGGCATTGTTATACTATAAAAAATTACTAAAATTAAAATTCCAGTTGGGTAATAAATACATGGATTCATTTCTACTTAGGCACCAAACTTTTATATCATATGATCCTAGAATGGTTAAGATTCTGAATATAATGAGGATCTGCACCATTAATTCACTTTAAAAATGGAAAATTTGGTAAAAAGTGTGATTTTTCACAAGTTAGAAGGAAAAAAGAGGGTGCCTGGGTGACTCACTCAGTTAGGCACTGACTTCGGCTCAGGTCATGATCTCACCGGGTAAGAGTTTGAATCCCGCATCTGTGCTGTCAGCACAGATCCTCTGTGCTTCTCTCTCTTCCTCTCCCCTGCTTGTGCTCTCTCTCTCTCTCAAAAATAAAATAAATGTTTTTTAAAAAATGTTTTTAATAAATAAATAAATAAAGGATACCTCCTTACCTACCTCTAAACTTTGTGAAATAGTACAATAACACCAAAGTCCACAGTTCACATCTGAGTCTATGGACATTAGAGAACACTCAAGTCAGGAGCCCATCTCACTCTCTAAGGAACCCGAAGCTTATATAATTTGGGGATGCCGTTTAAGAAAAAGAAGACAAAATTAGCTATGTGAAATTAAGTACTAAGTGTATAATTTATTATGAGATAACAAATAAGACTAAATTACACATTTTTAAATGTTTATTTATTTTAAGAGAGAGAGAGTGTGTGAGCATGGAAGAGGCAGAGAGAGAATACCAAGCGCTCTGCGCTGTCAGTGTAGAGCCTGAGACAGGGCTTTATCCAGAGAATCCAGAGTTAGATACTTAACCAACTGTGCCATGGCTAAGGCATCTCTGAGGGACACTTCCATTTCCCCTCATCCTAAATCTACCTAAATACACCTGTAATGGGAGTATAGGTACTTGAGTATATCTGCCATTGACAGCATGGTGGAAACAGACAAGCTCTGGTCTCACATCAATTTCTATGCCCTCCAGATCTTCCCCTCTTTAAATCTAATACCACTGACACAGATGCTCACACTGGGGTCAGATCTGCAGCTGGTAAGTACTCTTTTATATCATTTTAATATCCGTTGTTAAATTCAATACCTAATGTTTAATGTACATGTGTGTGTATTCACAAATACACACACACATTCATTGTAGATAAGTTGAAAGAAAACACAAAAAAGTAGGAGCTCTAGATGCTATTCAATACATCATTCAAAGTTTTATTTGGAAGAAGGTTTCTGAAAGAATGGATCAAATTCTCATGTCTTTACTGCTTTAGTTGTTATCTCTCCTTCAAGCTCCTCTGCACATTCCTCTAACATCTTTTCCTCACTGCCCCCTACAACGTTCACACAGCCACGCAAATGCTATGACCACTATCATCACCCTGACAAGAGAAAACTAGAAGGGGTAGAAAGATCTTCATGGTTCTCATGGATTATCTGTATGGTTTACTCTCCTAGAGGAAACATAATAAATTCCTTTTTTGATTAAGGTGGGCAGATTTAAACACAATATTAAACCACATTCAGACTAGATATTTCACTGTCACCTTCACAATTTTTATGGGGATACCTATAAAGGAATTAATTTTTTTATGAGAGAGCTATCAAAAAATCCCAGGAACCATTGTTATTATAGCCAAAAGGGGGAAAGGAGGATAAAATCACCTAAGTAATCCTCAAGAAAATGGGTTAAATGCCAAAGAAAAACTTAATATGGGAAAGGTTAGTTCTGGACCTTATGGCTGTACTAGTAGACTAAATAAGTCTTTGAACTTCATCTCTATACCTACTTCCTAAGGCAGTAGTACATTGCATACTATTTTTCATGTGTGCATACTAAATGCATATATTTGCATAGCAAATCCTCCCTTTAAACATATTTTAACTTTGGTAAATACATTTTGGTTATTTGAATGGTCAACCTGAAACAACACAATGACAATGTTTTTCATTGCCCTACAGCTACATCCTTCTGCAGTACTAGCACCTGGTACCCAGACCATCCCACTGACCCTGGGTGGACTGAACACACAACAGCAACTGCAACCCCAAGTAAGTTCAAAACAGGAGTTCACTTCAACATCGGGGAGCATTTTCTATCAGGCAGAAGCCTAAAGGGGAGGAAAGAATTTTTTTTAAAAAAAGTTTCACCCAGAAATTTACAGAGGAATGTCCAACTGAACATAGAACACCTTTGGCAATTTGGTTCTTGAGGAAAACATATGAGGAAAGCTGAGCCCGCCACCGCATACCCTCTCTGGAATACATTTCTAGTGGGAAACAGGGAAACTATGAAGAGATGGAGAAGACTGAAATGTAAAGAATATAAGGGGGGATACTGAGAGGTAGCAGCATTCTTTTCTTGCTTGCTGAGAACTTCCTGAGCGACCACAATCATCCCAAGGAAAAGTCAAGAGATGGATAAAGTTTATTCCCAGCAAATCTAATCTCTGTTTGTACCCTTTTTTCATGCTTCCTTGCAAGGACCCAATGACTCCCTAGTTCCCTTTCCCCTCCCATCATTACTTGCTTTCAGGAAAAACCCTGAAAAACCCTCCCCCATTAAGATATAAATGACATACATGGCACATCACTCCTATCAGAAGTGTTGCATTTTAACTACAGACAAAGCCCCAAGTTTTGCCTTTTTAAAACTTCTCTAAATAACTTAATGACTCTGGAGAAAACCACAATGATCCCTTTACAGCTAGACTAAGTTGTTCATAGGTAACACATGAACTCAGTCCCCATCATTTCCACACAATGGTCTCATTTTTGTAGAAGCATTTTTCTATATTACATACACAGTTGGTGTTAGTTATACAGAATTAGGAAAATATACAAAGCAAAAGGAAAAGAATATTCACTCACAATCCTATCAGCCAGAAATAAACACTGTCAGTATTCTAGGGTATGAACTTCCAGTCCTTTTTCTACACATTTAAGTACATTTTTTTAAAGAAAATATAAGTACTGTACATTTTTAAAGAAAACATGTTATTATTATTTCTAATATTCTACAATCTAATTTTTTACTTAATTTATATATGTATATATTTTTAATGGATTTTTTTTTAAGTTTCTTCATCCATTGGGGGGGGGTGGAGAGGGACAGAGAGAGAGGATGAGAGAGAATCTTAAGCAGGCTCCACACACAGTGCAGAGCCTGACAGGGGGCTCAGTCCCACAAACCCATAATATCGTGACCTGAGCCGAAATCAAGAGTCAGACACTTAACCAACTAGCCACCTAGGCCTCCTTCACTTAATATATTTTGACTAGCCTTTGTATTTTGAAATATTCACTAATAAAATGGTTTTTAATGATTGCTTAGCATTCCATCATTTGCAAAAATTGTGGTTTTTTGCCCAAAAACAATATAACGCTTTTATAAACAATATTACAGTGAATATCTTTTAACTTTGATCATGTCAATGTTTCTTTTCTTAGGACCAATTCTTAGGAATAGAATTTGTGGGTCCAAAGGCATACCAATAAGTAAGACTTTAATACACATTCCCAAATTATGAAACATGAATAAAGCAATGGGCCAATACATTCTAACCATCTTCCTACCACTATGGACCCCTCCAGGTCTTAATAAGAATGAGCTTAAATTAATTAGTAATTATAATCAAAGCCAGGTTTAACTGACAAAACAATTTTAAGCTGCTCAATTTAAGTTTTATATCATAGGCAACTGAGTACTTTCTCTGTACTTTCATTTGTCCAAAATAACACAAGAAACTCTATACTGCTTCATTTAATCATATTTGTCATATTCTGTGACATAACTAATTTTTACATTTCTTAATATTTAGATGTATCTTGTCTATCAGTAAGTGCTTATTTCCTACAGATATATTAGAAAAAGACTGAAAAGACTAGAGACACAGGCAAATTAAATGAGAATCTCTTTAACACATGACCCTGATATAATCCATATGCTAACTCCCCAGCTTCAGTTTTAATCGTTGCCCTGCTCCAACCCTGAAGTCAATTTAGTACATCTTCAAATTCACCAAAGAACATCCACTGGAGTCAAAAGGATTAGTCAGCACTACAGATGTTACTGAAGGTTCAGTAGAGTGAGTTGGACATTGCATGCTCCCCAACATGCAATAATATAAATCGATTCCCATTCTCCACAGGGATTCTTCAGTGTCTCCAGGATATGCCACCACCAAGGGTCCTCATACCTGACTCTGTGCTGCCCCAGCCCCTTGGAGCTTGCCTCTCCCTATGCAGAGTAGCTTATATCCTCTGCCAGAAACATGTGGGCACATGTCCACAGCTCTCATTTATCAACCCAAGGCCAACATGGTTAAGAACTCCAAGGAGCACCTGGGTGGCTCAGTCAGTTAAACATCCGACTCTTGATTTTGGCTCAAGTCATGATCTAGGGTTCATGGGTTCTAGCTCCATATCGGGCTTCATGCTGACAGTGCAGAGCCTGCTTGGGATTCTCTCTTTCCCTTCCCTGCTTGCATGCACACTCTCTCTTTCAAAATAAATAAGTAAACATTAAAAAAAAAAACCACAGTGATCTTCTGAACCACAAAATATGGGTCAAATTCCAGCGCCCTAGTTACAACATATGTGGTCAAGTTACTTCACCACTCTGTGGCTCACTTTCCTCATGATTTAAATTTTTTTAATGTTTTATTGATTTCTGAGAGAGAGAGTGAGAGAGAGAGGCAGCATGAGCAGGGTAGGGTCAGAGAGAGAGGGAGACACAGAATGGAACGCAGGCTCCAGGCTCTGAGCTAGCTGTCAGCACAGAGCCCAACGCGGGGCTTGAACCAATGAATGTGAGATCATGACCTGAGCTGAAGTCGGACATTTAGCCGACTGAGTCACCCAGGCACCCAATCCTCATGATTTAAAATAGGAATTAAAGTTGAACCGACTTCTAGGGCTGTTATAAGAATTCAATTAGCAAACAAACATAAAACACTTAGAACAGTGCCTACCACACAGTAAACACTGTTAGCTATTTTTATTTCAAACAATTTCTCTACCAAAAACTAATAAAAAATTTTTCTCCTTATTTTACACTGGTTAATAACAAAGTTACTTTTTATTAAACTTTTTTTTTTACACATCTTTGGTTTCCTGTTTGTATCTTTTTGTTCCTTCAAATTGACCTTTAAAGAAGAAATTTAATTATGCTATTTTTCCAATCCTGAGTGTCCCCTCCCCTCAACCCACTTTCCCATCTCCATTCTGGATATTAGTTTGGTTTTCAGTCAGTAACCAAGAAACTGATTGACAGAAAACTTTTTCCTAAATGTATATACTTAAATGCATGTACCTTTTGGCATTATGGGTATTACTGTGCCAACTATCTTGGGAAAAACAAAGTTAAGAGTTTGTTTCATAAGATTTTCCACATCTTTTGGTGTGGTTAGTATTAAAATCCCCATTTTGATGACTTTGATGACACTATGTGAATATCTACAGAAATAAAAATAAACCTAAAATGCTAGGTCTCTTGGGCAAACTCTAGGTTAACTCTTAGAGTACCAGAGAATGCCAACACCTCACCCAAATGTTTTCAACCAAAACTTCATAATGATGTGATTTGAAGTGGGTGATTTGATGGAGAGTGAATGGTCAAGAAAGAATTCCTGAGATATTTTCGGTACAAAAAAGTGGTTTTATTAAAGCACAGGGACAGGACTGAGGGCAGAAAGGGCTGTTCTGGGGACTCTAAGTAGCTATTGGTTGTAAACTTTTAAGTTGTGAGGGGCAGAGAGAAGCAAGTTTCCAAAAGGTTTTCCTATGTTAAAAAAGACTTACAAGACCCTGGAGGCCTAGCTATTGTCACGCTAAGGTTGTTTTTTCCTCTAGCAAAGCATTAACATTAAGACAAGGAGCTCCTGGGGCGACTGGGTGGCTTAGTCGGTTAAGCGTCCGACTTTTGCTTAGGTCATGATCTCACGATTCGTGGGTTCGAGCCCTGGGTCGGACTCTGTGCTGACTGACAGCTCAGAGCCTGGAGCCTGTTTCAGAGTCTGTGACTCTCTTGCTGACCCTCCCCTGCTCATGCTGTCTTTCTCTCTCTCTCCTAGAAATAAATAAAACATTAAAAAAAATTAAAAAAAAAAAAAAGACAAGGAGTTCCTATAGGTGTGTGAAGCTCTGCCAGCTTCAAGTATTTGTCAATGGACTGCAGATTATAAGGAAACTTAATTTTATCTACTTTTCTTTTGCCTTTGTTTTCCGTGTCAATAACATGTATGTGATTATCAGTGACCAGTAAAGTATTTCTCACTCATTTCTAAGAACTGCCAGTATCAAGATGATAGAACACTACCATCCATCATTTTCTACCAGTGCTCTATTTTAGCAGCAAAATTTCCAGGTAACCATTATGAGACAAAATATATTTTCTTCAGTCAATCTTTGCATTTTAGAATCCTATTTTTAATGTATCTTCTGAGGTGCCCTATAAAAGAAACACAGGCATTTTATCATCATTATTTTACTTGTAATAACTTTCAGTTTGAAGACCAAAATTATTTTTTGCTCATCCAATTTAGTAACTTCTACCCCCTTAATGTACTGCCTTGGATGAGTTTCTAAATCCCTCTGGGTCTAATCTGCTTTTTACAAATTGGATGAGTTCCCATTCCCATCCAACTCTATGGGTCTCTATGATTATAGCTCATACATTGGTAACAAACATTTGTTCAAGGAATATTGTATACTTTTAAGGAAGTCTCTAGATTTATATCATTTGCTTTGAACATATTTTTTATTGAATTTTTCACTCTTTTTCAGATGTTGCCAGTTATTGTAGCACACCTTGGAGCCCACGTAAGATTATTTTGCAATGTGATTTTTATTTTAAATCAGTTTAGTGTGAAATATGCCACCCTGACTCAATTCACCAGATAGTTACCAAGTTTCCGATTTACTTTGTGCTGTGTAACACTGTTAGTAATTAGCTAATACTTATTGAGCATTTACTATGTACCAGGCACTGTTCTAGGCATCTGGTTATTTGTTATATACTATCTCAGTATTCAAAACAACCTTTAAAGACAATATTTTTTAATGTTTATTTATTTTTGAGAGAGAGAGAGACAGACTAGGATCAGGGGAAGTCCAGAGAGAGAGGGAGAAACAGAATCTGAAGCAGGCTCCAAGCTCTGAGCTGTCAGCACAAAGCCCTATGTAGGGCTTGAACTCATGAACAGTGAGATCATGATGTGAGTTGAAGTCAGATGCTTAACTGAGTCCCTGGTTCATATCAATTCTTAATTCCACATCTGGGAACACATTCAAATGAAATAATCTGAAATACAGCAAAGGTTTATTTACAAACATATTAATCAAAATAATAATATTTGTAGTAGAGAAAAACATTGGATGCAATTTCAATTTAAACAAAACGGAAATGTTTGAGTAAATGGTGCAACATAAAAAAATTTTTTGTGACCATTCAAAAAGTATATTTTTTTGATTTTGTCACTAGTAGGGTTAAATGATTATTGGTGTAGTATTAAAATAAATTAAGACCCAAATTATATAAATGACATAACTTCTATTATGTAAAAAAGACTTGCGTGAAAAACATCTGGAATAAAATCCATCCAACTCTGTACGATGGCTGTTAATACTTTTTTTCTTTGTTACTTTCTGCATTCTCCAAGTTTTCTCCAATGTGCATGTATTACTTATTAAGTAATAATAGAAACTTTTATAATTTTTTAAATGCAGAAGACTTCACATCATTCAGATAATAAGTGTCAGCAGTCCAATATCATATGCCAGCTTGAATTATGTGACACAAGTCATAGAGGCAGCTAAAATATTGTCTCTTTACAAATTTTATAAGCATTTTAAGCTTTTAAGTTATGTTATACATATTTTGCTTCAAATATATTAAAATTTGTCTAGTAACTTGTGTTATTATTTCCTTTTAGGGTGCTGTCTTAAGCTCAGAGGAATTGGTAATAAATATATATAATTATAAATATATATAATATATAATTATTAAATTACTAGCTTTTCAAATTACTTTCCCTGCTATCACAATCCTGCCTTCTGTCCCTACACAGTCTCTGTTGACCACACCCCCTATCCCTCGTGCATGCTGCTGTAAACTGAACGTTTTTATAGGTCCTTGCATTAAGTTACCCTTTGTCTTCCTGAAGATTTCACTATCCTTTTCCAGCTACTTTCCCATTCATTTGACTTAGCTTCTGTTTTCCCTATATTGATATCTATTCAATTTTACCTGGAAACCCAATGCCTATTTTTAAACTTTATAGATTAAAATCTAGGATTCTAAATTATTAAAAGGCATGCAATGTAGAATAATATACATACTAGTATTTATTCCAGGCAAGATTCATTCTCTTGGCTTAAATTTTTAACTTTATGAAAATATGTTCTTTTTCTAGCATCTTATAGTGATGGATAAACTCTTCACTATACACATAAGTAACTAGAGGGTTGAACCTAAATAAAACTCATCTTACCACTATTAGACACTTCTATACATACATTTCCCGATAAGTCACTTTAGAAAAAAAAAACATGACACTGAAGTTAAGAGTTGAGGCAGTATTTGTGAAGACAGGTTTTCTTTTAAATCTTTCTATTATGAAAAAGGTAGAGATTTTCTAGAATGTTCACAAATAAAATCAACGGGGCTGTTCTGCAATAATGGTATATGAACATCCACATCTATCAGTTATTACGCCAATTCTGTGTAACAGGCACCTTGGTAGATCTTTTACATATATTGCCTTTAATCCTCACCAAGTGACAAAGTACAGGTTTTTAAAGTAAACTCTATGCCAACACAGAGCTTGAACTCACAACCCCAAGATCAAGAGTTGAATGCTCTATGGACTGAGCCAACCAGAAGCTCCACAAAGAACAGATTTTTTTAACCCAATTTTATAGGTAAAGAAACTGAGGCTCAGAGAACTCAAGCAACTTAGGCTCCAATGTCAAGAAACAGTAGATTTGGATCGAAAGCCATTTTTCTATTCACTATACCAGTGGTTTTCAAACTTTTTTTCAGTAAAATTCATGGTAAACAGCTATGTTTTTCATGCAGCTAACACACACACACATACACACATGCACACACACAAACATTCTTCATGAAATAATATTTTTACCCTTACTGTAGAGAATGCACTTGGTAATTTATAGTCTATTCTTTTTGTCTTATTTTCTAATGATGGACATTACTGCCTTCTTTATTTCAAACCTATAGACGCCATGACCCCCAGCTTGAAAACATCTGTATTACATTCCTGTCTCTCATCTGGCATAAGTCTAATTCTGGTTTCAAAACCTGGTAAATCTAAGACAGTGTTTCCCAAGCTTTAACGTTGGATTACAAATCAAACAACTCAAGGTGTTCATAAGATATGCAGATTTCTGGATTGTGCCCTAGAACAGCTCAATCAGAATGTCTCTAACAATGGGGCCTAGGAATTATCTTTTAAATAAATTTCTCAGGCCAGTCCTTTTCAAAATTTTTTTTAATGTTTATTTTTGAGAGAGGTAGAACACAAGTGGGGGAGGGGCAGAGAGAGAGGGAGACACAGAATCCAAAGCAGGCTCTAGGCTCTGAGCTGTCAGCACAGAGACCAATATAGGGCTAAAACCCATGAACTGTGAGATCATGACCTGAGCCAAAGACGAATGCTTAACCTATTGAGCCACCCAAACGCCCCCTCAGGCCATTCTTACACAAATTTACAATTAAGAATTAAGCTCAAGCCCTCAGCCCTTCTCATTCACTGTCAACATTATCAGAGCTGAGGGATTTCAGAGAAAAAGTCTCTACCAGAATTCTCTCAAAATCCAGTTTATACTAAATTATTTCTTCTTAAGAGGAATTTCTTACAGTAATTTTTTTCCATGGGAAAATAAATAAATATAGGCGACAGCAACATTTATTTTCAGCGTGCAAATCATTGACAGACCTATTCAGAGGAATTCCATTAAGTAACCTCAAGGCATAAAGAAATGGCTGAATTGAAAAGAGAAGTATTTCTGACTGAATATTGTAATGTCTCTGAAAAGCTCATCAAAAGAAACCTGAAGAGATGCAAACCATGAGATGAAGATTGATTGACAACTTGAATTAATATTTCCATTAATGTTTAGTATCTTACATTATTTTTTAATTTTTTCAATGTTTTATTTATTTCTGAGAGAGAGAGAGAGAGCGTGAGCAGGGGAGGGTCAGAGAGAGAGGGAGATACAGAATCTGAAGCAGGCTCCAGGCTCTGAGCTAGCAGTCAGCACAGAGCCCGACAGGGGGCTCGAACCCAAGAACCGCGATCGTGACCGGAGCTGAAGTCGGATGCTTAACCGACTGAGCCACCCAGGCTCCCCTTAGATTACTTTAAAAATGTTTGGGCAAAAGAGAGACTATAAATTTAGGTTAAAAGCAGAGACAGAGCCCAGCATAAATGATTTTCTGCCTTAGTTCTACCTCCACATACACCTGAGATGAACACATTTTTCATTATTACTTTTCCCATGACTGGCTTGATTCTGATGTGTCCTTTCTGAGGCAAATGGGACTGAAGTCAAGAAACCAGCATCAGGCTTGCTCGGAAGAAGGAGGCATTTCCTCTAAGGAATGCCCAGTCTTTATTATTTTGTCGGACTCCACTCTTTCCATTCTGCCTTTTCCGCCCCACCTTGCAGTCCTCAAAGAAAAGGCTGGTTGACCAGCATTAAAATGTGTCCTTTGACTTTCTTTACATTTTCCCTTCCTCGTTCCAGCCAATGGCCCCACAAATCTTCACAGGCCTCATTTTCCAGCCCCTCTTCCCTGGATCCATCCTGCCGAACAGTCCAGCTAATCCAGATGCGCAGAATGGAATCCTTCCTGCAGGGCAAGCAGGAGTGAACCCTGACATCCAGGGAACCCCAGAGGGCTTCTCTCCAACTCCTAGTGACAAGGATGATGACTTTGAAGTGACAGCCCCTGCGGGCATCCGAAGAGGCTTGCACACTACCCAGGAAACCACCACAGGGCCGCCAAATGGTAAATTCTCCGAGCCAGGAAAATGCCTCATGAAAGTCACCTGCAGAGTGGGAACAGAGCTGTCTTGCCTCAACAAAATACAGATCCTGATAAAATCAGGGATCCCCTATACCTAACACTCACAGTTGATTTCAACATTGTGAGGGAATTATTTTATTGGCCTACCAATATCAACTCAGAAAGGAGACATTTAGTTCCTGGCGTAACATACTTCCTATCTTAGGTCCGGGAGTATTTGGAAATAGACAGTGCTCTTCCTTTCTCATCTCCCTCTGACCCCCAAACATTCACAGCCCCACAGCAGACACAGTTTATGAATCATGATACTTTTGTCCACTCATCGATCATGAGTGAGCCACAGAAGCTTCTTAACCTAGTGTTGTAAGCAGTAATACTTCCCGTCTATAGAAATAGTAATTACTATTTCTATTACTTAGAATTCCTATAGTAATTACTATAGGAATAGACAAGATTTAGCACGGTAGGTGAACACATGTGCCATTCTCTTGAGATGGGACTTAAGAAACATTGCAAAACTCAGCTCTTTAAGTACCAACGAGCAGAGATAATCACTTAACACGTACAGATCTCTGGAACCAAAGGTCCTCGGAAACAACAAAAGAATGATTTGAGCTTGGCTACTCCTAGAAAAGAAATTTTAATCTCAAGTAAAAATGTTTAAATCCAATATGCTTTTACCTACATTTAAAAAGTGTTTTATTTTCTTCCAGGAAATCAGTAAGCTGGTTCAATTTTTTTCAACTAAGCCGCCTCAAATGTGGTGATGCATGCGAGTCTTTTTCACTGATCATATCCTGGAATCGATACTGAGACACACTAGAATATCAGAAGAAACTCTTAGTTTATCAAACTTTCTTGAAATTTCAGAAAATATATGCTTCCTGGAAAACAATGACTTCTGAAAAAAAACTAAATGGATACATTTGTCTTTGAAATGTAACGTTATGCCACCTTGGACTTGGAAAGCATACATATTAAACCTATTTTGAAACTGACTCTTTCTTCTTTGGGGAGAGAAGAAAGTGGGACCCTTTCAGAAACTGCATTACGTCAGGACTTAGATAATGCTCCCAATGGAGGAATTTCTTTGGAGTAGGAAGCACTCACTATAGTCACGGAGTGGATATTCGGCAATGTAAGGATAATTTCTGATTTCCTCACAACTCTCCCATAAGAGCCAGAGCTTTAACTTTCTTCAAGCACTCCTAAAATATGAAGTGGACACAAAGAATTATAAATCACACTGCCTGTCCTCAAGTTGCTTACATACAGAGTTAGTGATTTTGGCATTTAATGCTTTATTTTGGTATATCTAAAAGTGAGAAATGACATGAAGTAATCACTAAAAGTGATTCTTTTGCTCCACGCATCTAAAAGGTAGGATTTAGTCTGAATAAGTTTATAACTCAGACCACTGCAGTTCATTCCGAGTGGGAGGGAATAGAAAGGATTCACAGACACCACAGTAGAGCCCCCATGAAGGAAAGACCTGGATAGATTTCATAACATCTCTCACTATGTTTGACTCAGCCCCATCAGTATGGAACAAATCCAGATATACACCCACAAAACGAATGCCATGGTAAGCTTTTCGAGTGGTTAAAGATTTACTAAGGGTTAACCATTTATTAGCCACAAAGTGTCAGATTTGCAGAGTCTGAATAACATACTTAGAAATTGTCAAAGTTTTCATGGCCAAATTGAGTAAATCAAGACTGAATTTTCCAAAAATATTTGTCCATTAGTGTCATGTGATACTAATTAAAAGAGCTATCAAATGGTTTCCTGGATGACCCATTATCAAACTCACACACACACACACACACACAGACACACACATATACACACATGTGTTCTCTCTGAACCTCATGTTTCTCATCTGTAAAATGGGAGCAAAAAATCCTGCTATAAGTATCCCACAAGGTTCACACAAATAGATAGTGCAAAAAAGTGCTCTGAAAACTCCACACCACTATAAAAAGTCATTTTATTGACTTTCAGTAGCCTTCTAACCAACTGAAACTATCTGTCCTTCAAGACCCACACTTTGTCCCTATACTATACCTGGCTGTGCTTTAATTATTAGTTTAGTTGTATCAGTACCAGTTAGACCGTCTAGACCTCGTGTCTTCCTGGAGCATGCTACTCCTGCGGAAACATGAAGACTTCTCAAAGGGCTACAGGCAAACAGATGGTTTTGAGGGTGCCATCTCCGTTCTTACCTCCCACATGTGTGTTTTGCAAAGACTGACTGTGATCAAGAACATGTCTCCTCTTCCTTCTCTCTATCTCTCCTTATGTAGTCTCTTTTCCCACATTACCCAAAAAAAGGCCTATGCCTCACCTACCACCAATCTCAGTGTGGAAAATTGTTCTGTCATAGAACACCTCCAAGACACAAAGCGAATGAAGAATTTCAAATATTGGTGCTGGAGTTGAGAATGAAAGTAAACTTTGGCAACTCAGTAGTTTTTTGTTCTTAGCTCTCAACAAAATTCCCAATGGAGTTATCATGTAATTGATCATTGTAAACATTTTTTTAAGTTTTTAAATTTATTTTGAGAGAATGAGAGGCAGAAAGAGTGTACAAGCAGGGGAGAGGCAGAGAGAGAGGGAGAGAGAAAGAATCTCAAGCAGGCTCCACCCTGTCCCCACAGAGAGTAACATGGGGCTTGAACTTACAAACTGTGAGATTATGACCTGAGCCAAAATCAAGAGTCAGATGCTTAACCAACTGAGCCACCCAGGTGCCCAAAGCTGGAATTTCTAGAGGATGGATTCCTGAAAGTGAACTATTGGATAAAAGAATATGTTTTTTAATGTTTAAAATTTTTATAGATATTGGCAGATTATTCTCTAAAATGGTCATGTGGATATACTCCTACCAATATTTCTCTACATCTTTTCTTTTTTTATAATGTATTGTCAAGTTAGCTAACATACAGTAAGTATAGTGTGCTCTTGATGGTAGAAATTAAGAATGTATAAAATTAAAAGTGTTTAGTTATTCATTCACTTAAAGATAGCAATAATAAATAAATTACATGTAGGTACAGAGAACATATTTTTACATTAAAAATACTGTTTTGGGGGTGCCCAAAACACCTGACTTTTGTTCAGGTCATGATCTCACAGTTTGTGGGTTTGAGCCCCACATCAGGCTCTACACTGACAGTGAAGATGGGATTCTCTCTCTTCCCCCATCTCTTTGCCTCTCTCTCTCTCTTAAAATAAATAAACTAAAAAAATAAAAATAATAAAAATACTGTTTTACAAAATTTAATGAGAAAGCCTAATTTAATTGAGAAAAATTAATGAGAAGAGTGGATTTATCTTTGAAATTTCTCTCATGTCTGGCTTAATAAAAAATAGGATTCTTGGAGCACCTGGCTGGTTCAGTCGGTAGAGCATCTGACTCTTAATCCCAGGGGTTGAGAGTTCAAGTCCCATGCTGGGTGTGGAGCCTACTTAAAAGAAAGAAGGAAAGAAAGATAGGATTCTCATATCTACTTCGGCATTCAATCTGTATATGTCATAATATCACATATGTAGCTGCTCAAAATTCCACTGTATACTCTTGAGAAAATGAGAATGGAAAGGCAAAATATAATCTTTGTATTACTATAAAAGTAGTTTAACTCACTGATATACCAAAAAGATACCAGGGACCCTCAAGGATCACCACCAAACTTTGAGAACACCTTTGAGAAATGTAGCACCAATTCTTTTTTAACCTTCTCCCTGGGAATATACTGAAAATACATGGTGATCTGTCACATGTGTGTGACTTCACACACAGGTCTTCTCATTTTTATTCTATGAACACAGTAATTTTGATATAATCAATTTCATTAAAACCCATCAAAGAAGAAAAAAAAACTCTAGTAAATATGTAATTGTATGTGCTGCAGTATCAAATCTACTCCCGGCAGTTGAGATCTTTCCATTCAACAAAGCACCAATGAAAGCTGAAACCTGCTTGCAACTTTACTGTCTGATTGGTAACATTTTTCACAGACCAGTTTTTGTCTTTAAACATCATATAGAACTTTTTTTTTCTCTTCGGTCACCACATACTTCTGCCTCCAAGCACCATAAGACAAGTTCATACTGCCTTCACTTTGGTTTCCCAAAATTTGGTGAGTTGAGTCATGGCGGAGGGAGAGGCAGTGGAGTACTTCCAAGAGCCATTTCTGTAATGAAGCAACCAGAGCAACTTAATTAGTCACAAACCATATAAATATACCCACTAAATCCAAGTTCAACGTGTCCCTAAATCAGCCTTCCTTAGGCAGATGCCCAAAATGCCTGTGATCACCCCAATGCCATGACACAAGATGGAGTAAGAGGAAAGGAAAAGAGAGAGCCAAGGTGGAAAGAGCCAAATGTTTTCACTGGTTGTGATTGAAATATCTTACTATTTCAAGAGCTGCAAAACATAAGATTCCGTGAGCACATTATTAGCCTCCTCTCATCTCAGGGCCTGGGAAGGAACCCATACAAGTGAAGAGCATTGGAGTGTGAACTTGAACTTGATTATCTCCATTATAAACCCATCTCTGCCTCCCCACCTTTACCCAGATCTAGACATGTACTTTGCCCTTCCTTTCTCTGTGTTTTATGTTATGTTTACATTAATCATATTTATGTCCTTATTAAAAGACAAAATGTAATAATATCTACTTTATTCTAGGTGACAAATTCTTCTTGGAGCACAAAGAAAAGGGAAATAATATATACTTAGGGCATTCTATTTGGGAAGTACAGAATATTTTTAGAAAACTGAATTCTAATTTACTCTTGACATGGTAATGGATACCAAAGTCTAAAGAAATGCCATCCAATAAAAATAAAAAATGAGCCATATATGTCATTTAAAACTTTCTAGTAACCACACAAAAAGGTAAAAAAAAGTAGATGAAATTAATTTTGATAATGCATTTCATTTAACACAATATATATATATGATAGTATATTTTGACATACCTGCAACATAAAAAAATTAATAGTCTATTTTAAACTCAAAAAACTCTTGGGTTTTTTGTTTTGTTTTGGTTTGGTTTTCATTTTGTTTGTTTGTTTGTTTTTTGGTTTCTAAATCTTTGGAATCAGATGAGTATTTATATTTATATTGCAATTTAAACTAGTTATGCTTCAATGGCTCAATAGCCTCATATGGTGAGTGGATACCACATTGGACAATGCAAGTCTAGATTTAAGAAGAGCCATGGGTTTTAAAAGTAAAATTCCTTTTTAACCTGTGGGGAATCTAAAGCTTGGTATAAGTCACATGTCCAAGGTCACAGAGAAGCTAGCATTTGAACTTGGGTTTGCATAATAAGTTATAATGTTGAAAGAAAACTTTTTAAATTTCCAAAAATGAAATTTAATCAATAATCTAAAGGAAAGACCAAATCATCTTTCTATTCTATTCTTTCTTTCTATTCTCTCTCTAAAAAAATATATATATACTATAAAATTATTGTCATATAAGACTCCGAAAAAATGTCAGAAATAAGTAAGGACGATCCTCTCAACAAATGGTGCTGGAAAAACTAGATATTCATATGCAAAAAATAAAAAAAAATAGAAAGCAAAATAGAAAAGAAAAACAAATCTAGACCCTAATCTTACAGCTTTCATGAAAGTCAACTCAAAATTACTCATATACCTAAATTTAAAATGCAAAACTATAAAATTTGCAGAATACACAAAGCAGAAAATCTAGGTGACCTTGGGTATAGTGATGACTTTTTAGATACAATACACACACACACACACAAAGAAAACTCAAAGTCCATTAAAATTTAAATTAAAGGGG